TGCATTTGTTAATCGAATTCTTATATTGTTTAAAATCTGTTTCAAATTTAAGTTTAAATTGTTAACGGTGATCATTGGTTAAGATTTAAGTTGTTTCGGTGAAGATATCTAAACGCACACGACAATCTCTGCGATTTGAAGCGTTTTTAGTCATACACTGAATAATCATTTGTATTTATATTGGTATTTAAATTACAAGGTATTTATTATGTATCAAATTTCAAATCAGCATTTATATTTTGACACGAAGAATAAAATTTCAAGGTTTTTTCAATCTTGTCAAATACGAGCGCTCATTTACAACTCAAACGATATCAATCAAGCTAATGGTCAAGTCCACCCACAATGATTTCAGTGATTTTGAAAGATGAGTCGAACGACGTTTTCTACCGTTAGAGATAGTCTATTCAACATGAGGGTGCAAGGATTGCGAAACTCATGCTGCATCTGAACGAACTCTCTTCAAACACTTGAGTAACCGTGATACACGAATAAATTCTATGAGATATTTCCGGTGATAGCAGCCTGAAATCATGAGATTTTGCTCAATTTATGAAGCACACCTTGATACAAATGATCGTATGATGAAGTAGCACTGAAAATCGTGAAAGTGATATTTAAGTGACTGCCACGGCAATACCACACATCCGCAACACGCTAGTTCTTCATAAGAAATATCACGAAACCAACGACAAAAAAAACTCAAACTAGGCACACACCCACAAGATGATTTCTCAGTTGCTGGGCAGCGCTCGTTTCAGTACACAATATTACAACCGATCAACACATTCATTTACACGGCAATATCAGGATTACCATCTTTAAACAATTGGTCTTCACAGGTTTGCCTATGGCATAGCGATTTCCTTACACCATCGGACTCTTGAGATTTTCCACTTTCAGAAAAACATAAATTTTATTGGACAGTTACGCTTTTCATCAGAGAAAAAGCAGAATTCCTGAAGGTATCTCGGTTGCTTGCTGGCGTTTGTTTAAATACTTCTATTGATCAATCAATTCATTTACGCAGCATGAGGGTTACCATCTTCAGATTAATCGTACTCTCAGGACAGCCCGTACCCAGTATCATATCCTTTACTGCAAACCGTTCGATCCAGCGGAACCTCTACATTCAGATTATCATATATTTTGCAGAGCAATTCTGCTTACTTGAAGACATCTGGATAATTTCATAAATCCATCTCAATGCTGTAGGAGTTCCATTTTCAAATTACCCGTACTCTCAGGTTTGCCAAATAGCATATCAATTTCTTTGCACTAGTTCACTCCACAGAACTTGTGCATTCAGAGTATTNAGGTAACATATGTATTTCTGCCCACCATTTAATCCAGCGGAATCTATAAATTCAGGAAAATATATATTGCTTACCTCAGGAGATATAGCTATTTTCTCAATGCTTTACGGGTGGCTACCTTCGAGGCTGGGGTACTCTCAAGTTTGCCCAGCGACATGTGAATTTCTTTATACCGTTGGATCATGCGGAATCTCCAGATTCAGGATATCATATATTTTGCTGAGCAATTTTTCCTTCCTGAGGAGATATAGCTATTTTCTCAAAGCTATCTCAAGTACAGCATTCGCGTTCATTCATATACATTCTATCACTATTGATTAACATCAATACGTTACTACATCTCTATACAGGTTACCATCCTCAAGGTAACCGTCTTCTCAGGTTTGAGTTTTTTTGCATCAGTCGATCCAGCTGGATCTCTTCATTCAGAGTAACATATATTTTGTCGAGCGATTTTGCTTTCCTGAGGAGCTATAGCCATTTACTTAGATCTATCTCAATTCGATAGCGCAGTCGCTCGCGCTCATTCAGACAAATTGATCACTATAGAGCAATCAATACGTTCATATTAGCAATAGGCGGATTGCGATCTTCGAGCTAAACGTCTTCTCAGGTTTGCTCGGAAACATGCGAATTTCTTTTCACCGTTCGATTCAGCAGAACCTCTAGATATATCTTCAAGGTACTCTCAAGTTTGCCCGGTAACATATGACTTTCTTTGCACCATTCGATTGCTCAGAATCTCTGCTTTAAGAATATCGTGTATTTTGCCGTGCGATAGTGGTTCGTTGAGGAGATATATGCTTGCTCAAGAATTAGATCAGTAACGAGGGAATTTTGATGATTTGGTTTATTTTTAAAACAATAATGGTGATAAATCAGTAATCGTAAGGTAAATAATTTCATCGTTCACTGTTCCATATCACCGTTGTTACTGATAGTATACTTATTGTCATCTACATTGCCATTCCTAACAGAACTGATATATTGATAGTGATATTATTCTTATCACCGCAAAATTCTTGCCATAATCGCATCAGCAAATAAACAAAAACAAACGGAAATGCCGGAATTAAATGGCCACTCTATGAGAATTGTTATTGTTTGTTTCCCACTTCTTTTTTTTTGCCTCGCTCTCAGCCCGACTGTTCATGCTAAACGTGGTTAGCAGTAGAGTTAGCGCATGAGGCCATCTTGTAATTAGAGTCTAGGACCAAAAGATTGTTTCGGTGGCTACCAACAAGGTAAATTATAAGCATAGGACTGTTTCATCGGCGTTCGATTTGCCGAAGCCATCGACTGATCGNNNGATTTTCGTTTGCAGTCGACCTAACTCTATTTATGACGCAATGGTACTTCACTCAGGCGATGTGGTCCAATTATGGGTGCAAATAATATGCAGCGAGTGAATCTAACGGAAGAGACAAACCGAATTCTAATTAAAAGGCAGTTTTAGGTTTTTCATACTGATTTATTCAGGCGAGTTTGTCGCGGCTTCTCACCGACAAAGTCAAACCGATTCAAGATAATATTCAAATTTATTCGTTGATTGGGTACCGTAATCGCACCTTATATGTGCAGGTATCACTAAATTTCATGAATATTCTCACGTCGGCGAGTTGATTTCCAAAAAAAAAATGCATGGCGATCTTCAAACTGAGAGCGGTTTCTGATGGAGCTTTTCATGCGCCTCAAAATTTACCACATTGCATATCACTAACCCTAAAATCGGCTTTCGAATATCTCAGACAGTTCGATTGTTTCATGATGATTTAATCGCACCATTTGTTGATATGCGCTTTCTCCCTCCATCGCAACCACATTCGTTCACACGTCTGTTGCGTGCTCTCTTCTCTTTTTAACATCTGATGCGCGCTGCTCCCTCTCTGGTTTCATGCTACATTGGATAACACCCATTGGCTTAGTCGCTCCACACGTTTCATCTTGCTATTGCGCAATTCATGCGCAATATTTTCTCGAATTGTGTTAGCATTGGAAACATGAATATAGCACTATGAATGTATTGTTGAATTCAGTTACGATTTTACCTGTCAGGTTCTCAAAAACTGCCCCAGCATTTTACTTATTTTGTTCTCCAGCAAAGCTTTCGACGCGTTTGCTCTCTTCTTCAAGCATATATTCAGCGCGGTTATCAGGTAAACATTATTCGTCTTCAATCCCGACCCTGGATAATCTTGTAGTCAACGTGGCTTCCAAAAGCAGCACGTAAAATAGCTTAGAGTTTTGCTCAGGCTCGAGATTGCCTCGCCGGACTCGAGATCTCACAATTCGAGGCAATATACAAAATTGTTATGAGCCTGAGAAATGTATGCGGTTACGCGACATGCAAAAGCCACTTGAACTATGGAGTTGCTTCAAAAGCTAAAATTAAACGTTTACTGTGATTTTTCAAGTTGGTCCCTCATCGAATTAGTTAGTTGTGTTTTTCAGACGATTCATCCACTAAAATATACGAGGATCTAAATCAACGAATCGATAAATATCGAAAAGAATTGCAGAAGTTAGTTACTGAGATTTTCGCAGTGTTATCAGGAGAATTCCCTCGTGGTGGAGGATTAATTGTACGATATCATTCATTGGCATTTTTGATTACAAATGATTAAAACACCATTTTACCTCGCCCTCCTGTATCAGAAAGCAAAATGCATTTCAGTATGAGTATTTATGGATTTGAAGATATAATTCCAGTGATGATCATATCGAAGGCTGTTATATGATTCTGAATCTCTCCACTTCATAGTAATGTTTCTTATCATTTTTATTTGCAGATACGCTCGTGCCAGTTTCCGTTCGCGGTTAGCCAGGAATTCGTTGTCGAATCTTCGATCAGTTGTGAACGAAATGAAAGAGAAACAAAAGAATCAAGAAACGAACAATTCCATCTCTTTGATTCCTTCGAATGTCACCCTTGAGGTATCCTCTCAAATCAGATCTTTTTTNTTTTTTCTACGGATCACTCAATCTATCCTTTGCATTAATTTTCTTCTTTTTTCCATTCCTCTCTCATATCCTAACTTCCACTACACTTTCATCGTACTCTCAGTAGCACAACAAGCCTACTTCACACTGGTGTTGCCGCTTTTGATTACATGGCGTATAATTCCGCCCCGGCTAATGAAAATCGATTTTTGGAGCGAGTCAGAAGCTCCATGAAGAGGGCCAAAAAATCTATGCCGAACGGTAGATGTGAAATCAAATGATTGGCACGGGAGTGTGCGTCACGCAATTGAACTAACACAATGTATTGAGTGCAATACCAGGTTCAGTTATGTGATATAATTTTTAAAGGTTTTGAGTAATGGATCGACGCATCTACGACCATGTGTGGTGATTCGAACCCCTCAGAAGGTGTATCTGTTCAACTGTCCTGAGGGAACAACACGTTTCTTACCATCGTTGAGGCTGAAGTCGTTGAACGTTTGTGATATCTTCGTAACGAGAGGTATTCCTTGTTGGTTTCGATTAGGGTCTGAATTTATCTACAGTGCCGATTCTAGTTCTCTTTGTGCAGCCACCGTTTACAATAGAGTATTCGGTACATCATGCCAAAGAAATCGAAGCAGTCATGTTTCTGAATATTTTTTATCTGAAATTTTGCTGCAAATGGCACAAGTATTTGCCGTGCAGTTTGAAAAGATAACCCTTCATGCAAAATAACTCTTCATCGAGATTTCCATAGATTGTCTCGTAATTCATTGATTGCGATGTAATTGGAGACGATGAACGAAAGCATAAAAACATTTAGGGACATGGGATCACATCGGTGGTATCAGTTCAGTGTTGTTGTCCAAAGAGAAGGGGGCGCAATCGACCCGATTGCATGGTGCGGTCGATATAAGGCATTTTTTGGAATGCATACGGCCCTTTGCAGATTCCGATTTCGCTGCAGCCAGATATCCAACGCAGGTGATTAATTCAGAAACGACTGTTTAATATTGAATTACAGGCATGAACTTACGCTCAAGCTTAAGTCTGCTGAAGTTCATTCACTTCAGTTTCTCCACTCAATAATTTCATTGCAACCTAAACGTTTTCGTCACCTTTTTGCCTGAAGTAGTATTCATGTCCTACCGTAGACAGCTTATTCTTGGCCATGTAAATATATGGACGGAATGGAATAACTAATTACGATTTTTAATCGCTCATTTTGGAATTAAGGTTGAAGAAAGGTCACTCGAAATGGGTGGCTATAAAGATGCTGCGTTGACGATTCATTATTTGCCGGTTTCGGGTTTACAAGTACCGAGTTTCGACGAAATTACGTCGGTGAATTTGAACGAACCCGTAAAACCCATTCAAGGAGTACGTTTCTTTCTTTGTGATTGATGTTTTGTTAGCTATAAAGGACGCTAAAAATGAGTATGATCATAATCATGATTTGGAGAAATTATTTTTGGATGTTTCACAGGTTGACGTTGCATATTTAATTGAACTGAATTCTGCNTGTTCGAATAAACGAATAGATTTTACCATTGTTATAAAAATAATCGAATGAACACATTTCTCAGCCAGACGATGTGCTCTTTTCGGTGAGTGATGAAGAAGATCCGAATTTGTTGATCGTGGAATGCGTTGACAACGATGCGATTCAATCACTCAGAGATAACTCGCTTCTTCAAGTACGTTTCTGTAACGTTCTCTATTCCCTTCGATCGTTTCCAATGCGCATGAAATGTTAAATTTGTGATCAGTGATAAGATTTGATTGAGTGGTCGTGGAAATTTAGCGTTTCTGATGTTGTTATCTTTTATTGCATTTTTAGGTTTTAGTTTTATTTAGCCCAGTGATCCACGCACAGTTTTATCTTTTGATTGTCAACCTCTGAAATTTAATTGGTACTACGAGTCATGTAAGGTTATAGTGTTGAAATACATGAGGAATGTATGCTCGCTGTTGTGTTTTCTGTCTCCTTTTGTGATGTTTTTGCGTATAATTTTGCACATTTTAGAAATACATGAACGGTGAAAAAATGATGAATTATGTGGTGCATTTCACATCGAATGAATTATTCGAATCGAAAGAATACGAAGCATGGATGCAGTCATTCGGTTCACAGTGTATGCACATTGTGCTGAATGGATCGGGCCCTTGTTTACCACACGTTGAGAGTATCTATCGCAATCACGCCATCCTGAATCGTCTCAATTCAGATTTATTCCCACAGTTGGTTGGCTCTGATTTCGATGGCGTTATCACACAGGTATGTTTTCTCAAATAATCTGGCATTGGTAGTGAACATCAGAGAAACAAATCCGGACGGATCGTGAGTTTTGTCGCTGATTTGTTCTATCAGCTGACATTCTAATCATTCTTGCTTTCAGTTCGGTATAAATACGGTTTTTACTTTTGACTCCTTTATCTGTTATTATCATTACCGATATTGTGATTATTACTATTATCAGCGTTTATCGTTTTTCTGGATGATTATTATCACATTGTTCTCATGAGAGTTATTCATCTGCATACACATATCATTGATATCGTTTGTTATTGATTCAGGATGATGAATGTGAGAGACGACAGGGAAATCGTATTTACGCACGTCCGATACAACGATTCGCGCTCAGAGGAAGTTTGAATACTGAAGATCTTATAACGATTGCGCTCAAGAGCACCGATACGGAAACTAAACTCACTCAAACGGATGAAACCAAAAGAGTTATCGATGAGTTNCGATAGTTATTCATTATGAGTATATACAGTGTAACTTTACAAGTTGTTAATATTTTGAAATAAATGAATTTTTTAATTTAAAAAATGAAAAGATTTTCCTCATTGTTTCACTAGAATTTTCTTCATTTTGCATTAGTGTTTCAAATTGTTGATGCTCGAAAATTTTTTTTATTTTTGAAGAATGCAAGAGTGTGGAATGCTCGATTGAAACACCACGGATCAGTTTTTTGGGGACATCTTCGGCTGTTCCATCGAAATACCGTAATGTCAGCGGTTATTTAGTGCAGTTGAGTGATTCTTCGTCGATAATGGTCGATTGTGGCGAGGGTTCTTATGGTTAGTTGGGCAGTCTTATTGCGTTTCCTTTTTCAGTTTCAAGCGAAACTCGTCTCATCGAATAGGATCCGAATACAACGAATCGGATTTAGAAAGTGAGCAGTTGGATCGAGATGAACGTTTTCTAGTTTGAAGATGTTACCGAATTGCTGCAAATTTGTCTTTTTTTGCGACAAGTAACTTATCCTCAACTGACATGATTTTCTTTTGTCATTGCTTGATCATATGCTGATGATCAAATGGTTTGTTCGAAGAGAATTCTTCCATCTGATCACATTTCTACGCAATTTTAAAACGGATTTGAATTGATGAATGCTGATCGCACTCAGGTCAGATGCGCGTTCTGTTTGGTGACGAACGTTGTGATGAGGTGTTGATATCGCTGAACGCCATTTTCGTAACACATGCTCATTTGGACCACATCAATGGACTTTATACAGTGATATTACGAAGGCATGAAGCGTTCATGAAGAAAGGTTATTTTCTGTTCATCGCAATTACTGCGCTACATTCTATGCACGTGTCCATCACGATTTCCTTTGTTCTAGATTGTGCAACGAAATGAGTCATTTTTGATGCGTTTTCAGGTTTGGACTATCGTCCATTAGTATTGGCGTGCAATTTCAATGTTTTGAATCCATTTAAAACGTATTCTCGATGTTTTTGTAATTTGGAACCATTGGTGATCATCGCAAACATTTCAACACGTTCGCCAGTATCTCGTGACAGAAGCAACAGGTGCGTTTATTTGTTGTTCTTTTCTGCTTTTTATGGTGATGAGGAATTGTTGTTTGGCAACTCGTAGATTTTGGTTTGGCGTCCCAAGATCCGTAGGTTTCAGAAACTGGATTTTTCTTTAGCACAATTACCAATTCTTATGTTTCATGTTTCTTTGTGCTGCGTATTGACTTCTTTTAAAACGTTCCGATAGTCACAACATTCCACATATTCAATATATAATATTATCCTAGAGTTGATGAACTTCAGTGGTGAGCACATGTAAGAGATGCGGAATGTGCATCCATGTGAATTGCTTTGTACGATTTGGGCTCT